TCTCTATCACCTTGTCAGCGATTGAATCAACAATTGAATTTTCCTCATAGGGATTAGCTGCAGCAAAGATTCCTTTGTTGCTTGAAGCGTCAGACAACAATGAACGAATTCCTGCCAAATCTAAGCGCGTTGTTTCGTCTGCGATGGTTCTGATTTCCGCTTTTCAAATTTTTCAAGGGATTTCAAAGCGACTTGCATATCTGGGTGCAACCCTTTAACAAAATAGTCTTTAGCAATAGCCTCCAAAGTTTTGTTGTCAAATGAAGGGTATGCCAATTTGACTAATTCCAGCAATTTATATGCATAATTTTGCGTAGATTCTCCTACCTTTCTTGGCCTATTCGCCAATTCACTCAGTGCTTCTTCGCGGTTTCGTTTTCCCTTCTCAGGCCTGGTTCAAACGTCGCGCTCCTCATGTGCCAAACCTAACTCGAGAATTAAGTACATGAGGGGCGCGACGTTTGAATCGATTTGGTACGGCAGATTTAGTAAGGAGCGGCAGACTAGTTTGGATCGGCAGAGCTTGCCGAGCTGCACGGCTCCAGCACGGCACGGTTTCAAGCGTCGAACTTGTCATGTACCGAACTCAATGCATAATTATATTTAATTTATTTTCCTCCCCAGAATTCATTTCTTTCTTGGAGGGCGCATGCGTTTCAAACAAATATTTGAGATTGCGCGCCTTAACCAAGATACTTCATGTAACATTCCTAAAACCCATTTGGCGCGACATGATTAAGTTCGACGTTTGAAACGAGCGTCGCGCTAAACATGCTCAAGTGTCGCTCCAAACAGAGTTAGGTTCGGCACATGAGAAGTGCGACGTTTGAACCAGGCCTCAAATTCCTTTTTCAGTTCAGCTTTTAATTTTTCTGGATCCTTTCTATCATCTGCTGAAAGTCGTAGGTAAACATCGAACGCTGGCCCTTTTAGTTTACTTGCCAACGCTTGAGCCAGCTTTTCTCCTGTGTATCCTTTCAGTACGGCATGTATTTCTACCTTGGTTAAAAAGGCTTGAACATCGCCCTTTCCTGTGAAACACAAAATACTGCTTTTCGACGCATCCATGTTAATTCGGTTACAGTAATGTTGCCTAAAGATTGCTGAAAAGAGAGACTTCTTACTTGGCGACTTTACTATTAGAGAACTGTAACCGAATAAATGAATAACAGAACACGAGTAAATAAGAATACGTAAGGACGGACTATTTACATAGGCCAACACAGCAGAAAAATGTCGACTTTGAAATTTTTCAATTTCGCCAAGCCAAACAGAAGATTGGAGAAACTACTGATCAATTTGCTACACGACTTCGCAAACTTGCTACAAATTGTCAATTTACAGATTTAGATAAGGAAATTAAATCTGCGATTATACAAAACTGCTCGTCTAAGCAACTCAGAAGGCTTGCTTTGCGGGAAGAGAAGCATACACTTGCCGTGTTGTTATCAAAAGCACGTATTCTGGAAGCCAGCGATACACAAGCTAAAGATATAGAAGAAAGTCTCATGCAAGTGGAAACTGCTCAGCTGGTTCGTAAGCCTCAACTGAAAACCTGTTTCAACTGTGGTTTTTCATGGCCTCACTGTACTTCCCCTTGCCCCGCCAAGACTCAAAGTTGTCGCAAATGTGGGCGTGTTGGACATTTTGCTTAAGTCTGTAAAAGCAGCGCGAAACAACCGCGTGCCGTTAACGACCCGCCTACGCAAGACCATAAAAAAGGAGGTCATAAATTCGCAAATCAAAAAGGAAAAATACATCATGTACATGGAAAAGCACCTCAATATACACAAGAGCCTACTCCAGAGTCTAGCAGCGACGAAGGTTATTTGTTTACGTGCGATGATCAACGCGAAATAAAGATGTCACAAGTCCGTGTAAAAATTAATAACACCCCTGTGAAAATTATTTTGGATACAGGAGCATCGATCGATATTTCGGATGAATCAACATTTCATCAGGTCAAGGCGGCTAAGAATATCCATCTTTCTCGTTCAACAACAAAGCTTTTCGCATATGGTTCTGAACAACAGCTTCCAGTTTTGGGAAAATTTCATGCCACGATCGAAACAAAGGACAGAATCGCGCTCGTTTGCCCACATGTGGTTCGGGGAAATTCTGGATCTTTGCTCAGTTACACAACGGCTGCTGACTTAAATTTGATTCAAATTAGGCTAAATGCAGTGAAAACAGGACAATCTACCCCTGCCACTACCGAGAATTTGGAAGCCAAATACCCGAAACTATTTGATGGAATAGGAAAGCTCAAAGACCGAGAAATCAAACTGCATATCGATAGCACCGTTCCGCCGGCGGCTCAGCCCGCTCGACGTATACCATTTCATTTGCGGAAGAAAGTGTCGGAAACTCTGCGTGATTTGGAATACCAAGGCATTATTGAAAAAGTGGCAGAAACAAGCACCCCCTGGGTATCCCCTTGATCGTCATTCCAAAAAACGACAGAACTGTTCGTTTATGCGTGGACATGAGAATGCCTAACCGCGCGATTCAACGGGAACGCCACCCTAGCCCTACCATCGACGACCTTATACACGCGTTAAATGGTGCTACAGTTTTTTCCAAGTTAGATCTTCGCTCTGGTTACCACCAACTGGTTTTATCAGAAGAAAGCCGTCACATCACTACTTTCGCTACTCTTAAAGGGTTATGAAGATATACACGTCTTAACTTTGGAACGTCGTCAGCAAGCGAAATTTTTCAGAACGCCGTTTACGAAAAAATTCGGAACATTGAGGGTGCCGTAAATATCAGCGACGATGTTATCATTTATGGTAACACCCAAGCCAATCACGACCGCGCGTTACATGCGGTATGCAAACGATTCCAAGATATAGGGTTGACGTTAAACAAGGCAAAGTGCGATTTAAACAAAAAGGAGGTCACGTTTTTTGGCTATGTGTTTTCTGACAAAGGAATCTCTGCCGACCCCCAGAAAGTTCATGCAATTCACAACGCCCCGCCGCCACAGTCAGTCAAGGATATTCGCAGTTTCTTAGGGATGGCAAACTACTGTGCAAAATTTATTTCACAATTCAGTGATATCAGCGAGCCCTTGCGGAATTTAACAAAGAAAATCAGTGTTTCCCGGTGGACCCCTAAGGAACGAGAGTCGTTCGATAGCATCAAGTTGGCACTGACTAGTGACAAGGTGATGGCATATTTTGACCAGACAAAACAGACTGAGTTGTTTACGGATGCTTCGCCTACAAGCTTTTTTGGCTATTTTGTCGCAAATTACACCTGGCCAAGAAGACAGAAAAGTCGTAGCCTACGTAAGCCGATCGCTCTCAGGTGTAGAAAGAAGGTACTCGCAAACTGAAAAAGAGGCATTAGCTATAGTATGGGCTATTGAACGCCTTCACATTTACTTATATGGTGCAAAATTCAAGCTATTCACAGATTGCAAGCCAGTCGAACTTATCTCGTCTAACCCGTAATCACGACCACCTGCTAGAATTGAACGCTGGAATTTACGTATTCAGGATTACGATTTTGAAATTGTTTATAAACAAGGAGCTCAAAACCCTTTGGATTTCTTATCAAGACACACCTTTACGGATACAACTGGTAAATCGCAGTCATCAACAGCCGACAAATACGTCAATTTTCTAGCTCGTCATGCTGTTCCGAAGTCTATGGATTACAAAGAAATTCAAGATGCCACATTCGCAGACCAAACCTTGCAAGCTCTAATACGCCTTATTCATGATAATTCGTGGAACAACATTCGAAGTATGCAATCACCTGACGTTGATAAAGGGGAATTAAACTTATTCGCTAAAATATGAAGCGAATTAACTGTCAATGATGATGCAAGCCTAATTCTGCGAGGATCACGAATTGTTCTTCCTAAATCTCTCGAAGGACATCAAGGGATCGTCAAAACCAAACAACTTCTACGAGAGAAAATTTGGTTTCCTAACATCGATAAATCTGTCAAAGATGTGCTTGCAAATTGTCTACCATGCCAAGCCATTGGTCCGGAAAATAGGCCTGCCCCATTACATATGAACGAATTGCCTCCGAAGCCCTGGCATACCGTACACATTGATCACTGTGGACCGTTTCCTACCGGAGAATATATTCTCGTGGTCATCGATGCTTACTCTAGATTCCCAGAAGTGGACATTGTGCATTCCACATCAGCCTCTGCGACATTTGCTAAACTCGATCGAATTTTCGCAACACATGGATTGCCCCACGTTGTTAAAAGTGACAATGGCCCACCATTTAACAGTGCTGACATCAAGGATTACATGAAAGAAAATGGCATACATTTTCAACCCATAACACCGTCGTGGCCCCAAGCCAATTCCGAAGTTGAGAACTTTAACAAACCAATGACTAAAGCCTTTTAATGCGTTTTACTCCATGGCCTCGTGCACTACAAATAACTCTTGCTGCCCTTCTCCGGTCGCAGGTATTTCTAATGATTTTTCATCACCCGCATCATTATAAAATTCCAAATCTTTTCTTTCCTGAATTGGCTTGAAAAATGAAATGTTCCTTGTAACGTATTATCCATTTCTACAAGCTGTGATCATCGTTCCAAGCAATCATTAAAAACATCGGGAAAAGAAAGTAATGTCTCAAGAATCTGTTTCTGATCTTACTTACTAAGATTGGGACTGATAGCTGCATATAACTCAGACAAGGTAACTGAATCAAACCTACATGCCGCCTACAAACGCACAAGCACCAGCACCCGACCAGGAACCATGACAAGCAACAGCACTAGCACCAGCACAAGCACCGGGTCCAGCACAAGCACCAGCACCAGCATCAGCACTAGTACAAGTACAAGCACAAGCGTCGGCACCACTCCAAGCTCCAGCACAAGAACAGGTACGAGCACCACCACAAGCACAAGCAGCAGCTCCATCACAAACATCAGCACCATCTCCAGCATCAGCACCGGCAGCAGTACAAGCCTAAGCACCAGGAAAGGCAGAAGCGCCATCACCAGGAACAACACTGTTGGGGCCCAGACCTTCCTTGGTATCCTAAGACCCCACACAGTTATTGTTATTACATTCGGTAGTGTAATACGTGCCGGATACACGGCGGCATGTAGAGTTTTAATTATAATGTTGATTTTATATTTGATTTAAAGCAGTAGTAAATAACATGTCTTGAATCTCAATGCCTAATAAGGACAAACATATGGAAAATATCAATCGACAAGTCTCAGTGAACGTGATTATCTAAGTTGAAACTCGTAATAAGTTAGTTAGTTGGTTGGAGTAGAGTTGAAGTAATGATGGTGATCGGCGAAAATGTGAAACAGAATATTGATGGATTTGATACAAAATAGTTAAACAAAATGGTGATATTTCTCTGAGTCTTCATCTTACACTTCGTTTATCATTAAATATTAAGATAGGGGCACCGCTAGAAATAGTGGTCCCAACATAATTGGAGGCACCGCCCGGATACACGGATCTACGGATACACGGATCTACGGATACACGGATCTACGGATACACGGATCTACGGATACACGGATCTACGGATACACGAATCTACGGATACACGGATCTACGGATACACGGATCGAATGATGGCGAGGGAAGCAGATGGAGATGTAGTGCGTGAAATGGCCGCGGAAATTAGGCAAGTGTTGAAGAAACTTCGGAAAGCTAGAGGAGCTCACAGAGCTTATGTTACAAGAACGATCGCCATAGCCATGGAACGAGTAAAGAATTTTCGGACAGGAGATAAAAAAGAGCTTCTGAAATACAAGGGGGTCCTGACGGATAAGAAGATGGTCTTGCAGAAAATGGATGAAAAAGTGTTGGAAATTTTGAGTGACCAGAGTGATGGGGACGAATGTATTCAAGAAGTAGAGGAATCTGAGGCAATTGCAATGGAAATATCGGAGGTGCTTTTAGAGATCGAAGAAATCTTGGAAAAGGACACCGCCCTACAGCATGCACCCGTGGAAAACACCTCATTCTCTGGGAGCAGTTTGACAAGGAAGGCAAGAGCAAAGTTACCCAAACTGGAGCTGCAAACTTTTGACGGAACGCCACAAGATTGGCCTGAGTTTTGGGATGCGTTTAGCAGTACAGTGGACGATGATGAGGACCTTCCGGACGCGGTGAAGTTTCAATATTTGAAGAAGTCATTGTTGGAGCCAGCGAAGTCGGTAATTTCGGGATTCAAAATGACAGCGTCAAACTACAGAGCCGCGGTGGAGCTGTTACATCAACGCTTTGCGAAACCGACAGTGATCAAAAGAGCCCATATCAACGAGATGCTCAAAATCAACAGCGTGTATGACGAAAGGCGGGTTGACAGGATGCGATCTCTGCACGACAGCGTTGAAACGCACTTTCGCGGGTTGGAAGCTCTGCATGTCAACGAAGAGACATATGCAAGCATTGTTGTGCCAGTTCTGCTGGAAAAGATCCCCCAGGCCGTTCGTTTGAACATGGTGAGAGCGTCCAGCAAAGATCATTTGGAGTGGTCTGTGAGAGATTTTTTGGAAAGTTTGAGCAAGGAAATTGAAGTCAGGGAAATACAAGCGCCGATTTTTGGAACAGGGGGCACGGAACGGAGAGGCTACACCCCACGGAGAATGGCGGACAGGTTAATCGATGGCACGGCAACGGCATTGCACACTTGGAGAGCGGACAGCCAGAAACGATGCGCCTTTTGCCAAGAAAATCACGAAGAAGAACGTTGTTCTAAAATTACAAACTTGGACACGCGTAAGAGCATTATTAGAAAGTATGGTCGTTGTTTTGTTTGCATTAGGAAAGGGCATAAGGCTGTAGATTGTAGATCAAAGATTAAGTGTAAGAAGTGCAACGGTAAACATCACATATCTCTGTGTTATTTTTCAAGGATTTAACCGTAAGTAAGAATCCTAGCCCTTTAAGACCCTCAGCTCCTCCTTTTGTAGGAACCTCTACAGGTAGCACTAACGTAGCATCGTGCACCAATAGTTTAGGCCCTGGTAGTTCTGCAGCATTGCAAACCGCCCTAGCTGTTGTTAATGGGAACGATAAGGTTAAGGTGCGCGTACTTTTTTATAGTGGGAGTCAGAAGACCTTTGTAACCCCCACTGTAGTGGAGAGAGCAAAGCTACAAGTTGTGAGGAAGGAGAATTTAGGGATTAAAGCCTTTGGAAGTGAGACGGCAGAGAGGAAATTGCAAGATGTTGTAGAGCTGGATTTGAGGGCTGCGAGAGGTGGTAAAAGAGTGAAAGTAGAAGCGTATGTTGTTGAGAAAATTTCAGAAATATCTAATTGCCATGTTGAGATTGTTAAAAGTAAATATAAACATTTAGCGGATATCGAGTTTTCTGATGTTTCTGATGAGATTAGTTTACAGGTCGACGTGTTAGTAGGAGCAAATTTCCTCTGGGAATTTCAAGGCAAACAGACGATACGAGGGGAGAAAAACGAGCCAGTCGCAGTCGAGACTACGTTAGGATGGGTGCTCTCGGGACCGTTGAATGGTGAGTCTTTACTTTACGATTTAAACAATGTTATTGTTACGTATGTCGAAGCAAACTTGGAGAGCAAAGTAGAACAATTTTGGGATTTAGGTACAGTCGGTGTTAGAGAAGATAAGGACATTTATACTGAATTTATCGATGATATATCTTATAACGGTAAAAGATATTCCGTAGGTTTACCTTGGAAAATAGGCCACAAGCAGTTACCGCCCAATTTTAATGCTAGTTTTACACGGTTGAAGTCTCAAATAAGGAAACTTAAGAACACGCCCACCTTGCTAAATGAGTGTAATAAAATAATTGAGGAACAAGAAGATCTTGGTATTATCGAGAAAGTTACGGAATTAGAGGGGGCCGAAAAGGTTTATTACATGCCTAGCCAAGTTGTCGTAAGGGAGAATGCGGAAACCACTAAAGTACGCATGGTTTTCGATGCCTCTTCTAAGGAAGGGAAAAGCGGTACTTCGTTAAACGATTGTTTACATGTTGGACCTAATTTAACACCATTGTTATTTAACATACTTGTTCGGTTTAGAGAGAATAACATCGCACTTGTAGGTGATATCGAGAAGGCATTCTTAAATGTAGGTGTTCATGCTACCGACAGGGATTGTTTGCGTTTTTTATGGGTCGAAAATCCTCATGAAAACGATTTGAAACTTGTTGTTTATCGATTTGCGCGCGTTGTTTTTGGAGTTAATGCATCGCCTTTTTTGTTGAACGCGGTTATTAGGAATCACGTAACTAAGTTTCAAGATATAGACCCGGAATTTGTTAAGAAGATGTTAAATTCTTTCTTTGTTGATGATTTATGTACGGGGGCTAAGACAGTCCAAGAAGCAATTTCGTTGTTTGATAAATCTAAGACTAGGATGCTAGAAGGAGGATTTAATTTACGGAAATGGAAGTCAAATAATGGGGAAGTAAGGGAGTACGTATCACGATGTGAAGGTAAATCGAAAGGTTTAGCCAGTGCCAATGTAAACAGTAATGACGAGGAAACTTATGCGCAGAAAAAGTTAAATATTGTCGATGGACAAGGTAAAACTAAGGTTTTAGGCTTAGTCTGGGAGGAGGAAACGGATAATTTGGAGATTGTTCTGGATAGTATAGGTACTATAAGAGGGGAGAGAGACTGTGTAACGAAAAGATCGGTTTTAAGCTCGCTAGCTAAGTTGTTTGACCCGTTAGGACTAGTTAGTCCCGTCTCAACGATAGCTAAATCATTTTTCCAGGAATTGTGCGTGGATAAGATAGGATGGGATGAAGAGTTACCTCCAGAAAAAAGGGATAAATGGGAAAGATGGGAAAAGGATTTGAAACAGGTGAAATCTATTTCAGTGCCCAGGGGTATACACCCATACAACGAGGAAACGGGTAAATATTCCTTACACGGGTTTGGAGATGCCAGCGCCAAGGCATATTGTGCTGTAATTTATCTTGTTTGCGAGACAGGAAGCGGAATTTATTCTAGACTTGTTTGTTCTAAAACTCGTATCGCCCCACTCAAGGGTCTCTCAATACCACGCTTGGAACTTATGTCGGCCAGGATTTTAGCAAATTTGATGGAAAACGTTAGAAATGCACTAAGTTTTCTGGTTGAAATAACATCGTTGAAGTATTGGTTGGACAGCGAAACAGTTTTATTTTGGTTAAATAATGCTGGGGAGTGGAAGCAATTTGTTAGACAAAGGGTAAACGAGATTCTAGCCAAGACTGATAAGGATAATTGGAGACATTGCCCAGGGAAAGAGAACCCAGCGGATATAGGAAGTAGGGGGCTGGAAGCAAGTAAATTAAAGAACAACATTACGTGGTGGGGAGGTCCCGCATGGCTTAAACAAGGTATAGATTATTGGCCTAAGAGGAATTACCTAGAGAGAACGGAAAATGTAGATCTAGAGAGTAAGAAACAGGCTGTAGTGCTAAGTGGGGCAGAGGAGAATGGATCTTTTATAGGTTCTGTAGTGGACATAAATAGGTTCAGTAATATGAATAAGTTGCTTCGTACCACGGCATGGATTTTCAGGTTTATAGGAAACGTTAAGGCTAAAGTAGCTGGGAAGGAGATAAACACTAACGAAATAACTGTAGAAGAAATAGAGAGAGCCGAGCAATTATGGATTATGGATGCCCAGTCTACTGTTAGTGAAAAGAATGATGCGTGTTTGTTAAGGAATTTGGGAGTATTTAAGGATAATGGTATTTTAAGGTGTAAGGGGAGACTAGAAAATTCGGAGCTCGATCCTGGGACTAAATTTCCTATTTTGATTCCAGGGAATCATCTATTTGCGAACCTTATAGTATTGCATTGTCACGGTATAGTGAAACACCTCAAAGTAAGGCCAACCTTGGCAGAAATAAGAACTAAGTTTTGGATACCGAAGGGTAGGTTATTGGTCAGAAGATTGTTAAGTACATGCACAGTATGCAGGCGTTTGGAGGGCAAACCATATTCGCAGCCGATTACGGCAGCCCTGTCAAATTTTAGAGTGCAACAAGCCGAACCCTTTAGCAAAACAGGGGTAGATTTTGCCGGACCCTTGTTTGTAAGAGAAAAGGATGGGAGCATGAATAAAGTGTACATAGCCTTGTTCTCCTGTTGTGTTACGCGTGCGGTCTCTTTAGAGCTCGTCAATGACTTATCTACGGAGTCATTTTTAAGGTGTTTTCGTAGGTTTGTAGCCAGAAGGGGTGTGCCAAGCCTTGTCATTTCGGATAATGCCAAAACGTTCAAGGCAGCAGCAAAACTTTTCGACAATTTGAACAAAAACCCCACATTTTTAACTTTTCTACAGAACGAGAGACTTATTTGGAAGTTCAATCTAGAAAGGACACCATGGTGGGGTGGGTTTTTCGAAAGAATGGTTGGGACAGTTAAACGGTGTCTACGCAAAGTTATTGGGAAAGCAAAACTAACGGAGGATGAGCTTCGCACATTGATTCTCGAAGTCGAAAGTATCATTAACGCGAGGCCTTTAACTTATGTGTATGAAGAGCTCGATTCGGAGCCATTAACTCCTTCGCACTTAATTTTTGGCAGAAGGTTGGTAACATTGCCAGATAATGCTAAAGAAATTAATAGTAACGATGCTTCGTATTCTAGAAGGTACAAGTATTTGTTGAAAAACCTGGACCATTTTTGGAACAGATGGCGAACCGAGTACTTAGTAAATTTGCGGGAGCACCACAAGCTTTCAGGCAAAGATACGGCCAAAATTAGAGTTGGAGATACCGTAGTGGTACACGAGGACAATGTGAAAAGATCGCTTTGGAAACTTGGGAGAATAGACAAGCTCATCATGGGGAGAGATGGACATATCAGAGGGGCAAAGGTATGCGTAATTTCACGTAACAAACCAGATTTTATTTCTAGGCCTTTGCAAAAATTGTACCCTATAGAATGGAGACAAGGAGATACAAATGGCGACAAGGAAAGTGTGAAAAGTTCGGTTCAAGAAAGTGAAAGGTTGAGAAGCGATAAGGGTGTAGAGCATGAGATTGAGAAGGGTGTGGTGAAGGTACGGAGAGCAGCGGCGCAGGATTCAGAGTGGCGCACACGTCTTATGCTTGACTCGAGCGAGTCAAGGAGGGGAGATGTGTTGGGGCCCAGACCTTCCTTGGTATCCTAAGACCCCACACAGTTATTGTTATTACAATCGGTAGTGTAATACGTGCCGAGATACACGGCGGCATGTAGAGTTTTAATTATAATGTTGATTTTATATTTGATTTAAAGCAGTAGTAAATAACATGTCTTGAAACTCAATACCTAATAAGGACAAACGTATGGAAAATATCAATCGACAAGTCTCAGTGAACGTGATTATCTAAGTTGAAACTCGTAATAAGTTAGTTAGTTGGTTGGAGTAGAGTTGAAGTAATGATGGTGATCGGCGAAAA